ATGGATGGATGGATGGATCAATGGGTGGGTGGACAGATCAATGGATGGATGGATGGATGTCTTGGAACATGTTCCAAGAAGGCTATTGGTGAAGGGTGGTTTTGAGAGAAACCACACTTGCCAAGTATATTAACATTGTCTTGTTTCAAAAGTTAAAGTATACATTTATTATAATCTAGTGTCTAGTTGGCAGGATAGTCAAACCAGATGGCGGACTCTAACTAATCTTGACTGATTTCAAACAAGCTAAGGAGATCTGCTTAGGATTTGGATGGAAAATCCCAGGGCTAAACTGGGGCTGGCGTGCACTGAAAAACTTGCCAGGGAGTTAATATAAAGCAGCATTAGTAAGCTCATTTACCAGTATTCCTACTCCATCCAAAGTTGAAAAACCTTGTTGTTCATATTCAGTGTCTGGGCATCCCTGAAGATGCTTTGAATTCAAGCCATCGACGGCATTAGCAATCTCGTCTGCTTAGCTCCCACAACCCAAGCGCCATCCCTCGCTTTCTTTATTTGCTATTGTATTCACAAAACATTACAGCCTGCCCTTCCAGCAGATTGCCCAAGGCAAATCAAGCATAAAGAACCGATGGAACCGACATTTAACAGCAGCAAATTGAAACTATAAAAGCAATAAATACGTAGCAGCTACCCAAGAGACGAACCGGTTGATTCTGTGAAGCAATGAACCAGGGGCGAAGGTACCCATCGGATACAGGACTTGTAGCATTTCCGCAATGGACCGTATGAGAAAATGTAGTTGCTATTCCGCAGTCTGTAAATATAATAAACCCGATTAGCGCAGTGCTCTAAGGCGTGTAATCCTCCATCTTGGGGAATGTGTTCATTATATTTAAACAGGTGCACATTACGGCCGATTCCCATGGTTCACTCATCAGAGGCATGTCAAACCTGCAGCGCAGTATTTAAAAAAAAACAAAAACAGAGAGATTATTTTATCTGTTCCTGCCTTGTTCCATTGTGCATTTTTAATTTTTAATTTTTTTAAAAAAAATGTTTGGGCTGCCTTCAAAACCCAACCGATCCCAGGGCAGCTTTACAAGAGGCTGTAAATTCTAAAACAATTAAAATATACAACAGCACAAATGTTCAATCACATAACATTAAATCAGTGGAACCATAATAGCAACCGCCGAAAAGAAAAGTAGAAAAGGCTCCCGAACAGCAGATACTGAAAATCAACAAGTTGATTACAATGCTTAGAATGTGTGGGAGGATAAAAGGATGTTTGTCTGATGCCCAAAAGACAATAAAATGGATAGCCAGGAATACCTCACTAGGAAGAGCATTTCAGACATAGGAGATTACCATTGAAAAGGTAGTCTCAGATAAATGTATAGAGAAGAATGTACTTATTTGTTAGATTTATAGTAATAGCACTTAGACTTATATACTGCTTCATAGTGCTTTACATCTTCTCTAAGTGGTTTACCAAGTCAGCATATGGCCCCCAACAATCTGGCTCCTCATTTTACTGACTTCAGAACAATGGCAGGCTGAGTCAACCTTGAGCCAGTCAGGATCGAACTCCTGACAGTGGGCAGAGTTTGCCTGCAATACTGCATTTTAACCACTGCGCCACCAAGGCTCTTATATCCTGCTTTTCCTCCTCAAGGTAGAATACAATTTCCCCATCAAAATCTAATGAGGCATATTGGATTCAGAATAAGCAATTGGTTCAAAATCAACCAGTGAAGGTCCATAGCTGTGATGGATGTGCTCCTGGGTTACCCTCAGGATAAGATCTTCTGGTCAAACTTCTGATCATCCAATATTTAAGAATCTCTCTGTGGTATCACTGGTTGCGACACACACTTATTCAAGGCAGACTAAAGAGTTATTTTTCCCACAATGCACATTTAATTTATGGAAATGAAAAATGTGGACTAGTGATAAAAAGCTCTGGGGGCACAGTGGTTAGAAAGCAGAATTGTAGACGAACTCTGCCCGCAACCTTGAGTTTGATCCTGACGGGGCTCGAGGTTGACTCAGCATTCCATCCTTGTGAGGTCAGAGAATAGAGTGGAGTGGAGTGGAGTGGAGTGGAATGGAATGGAATAGAATGGAATAGAATAGAATAGAATAGAATAGAATAGAATAGAATAGAATAGAATAGAATAGAATAGAATAGAATAGAATAGAATAGAACAGAACAGAGCTGGAAGAGACCTTGAAGGTGTTCCAGTTCAGCAGGAGAACCTATACTATCTCAGACAGGTGATTGTCTAGTCTCTTCTTAAAAATCTCCAGTGATGGAGCACCCATGATTTCTGGAGGCAAGCTGTTCCACTGGTTGATTGTCCTCACTGTTAGGAAGTTTCTCCTTAATTCCAGGTTGCTTCTCTCTTTGATCAGTTTCCAACCATTGTTTCTTGTCCTTCCCTCTGGTGCTCTGGTGAACAACCTGACCCCTTCTGCCTATTTGGAGCAATATGCAAATAAAGCACTATAGGGCAGTATATAAGCCAAAATGCTCTTGCTATTGTTATGAGACCAGAGTAGACAGGCATCTAGAAAAATGTTATGATGCTGTAGTTCAATTTACAAGTAAGTCAACCTTAGGGCGGAACCACAACATGATCTTCTCTCCCACATCTTCCAAGATTCAGAACTACAAGGCAGTCCTCAAGTTACGATCACCGTTGGGACCAGAATTTTGGTTTGCTAAATGATGCAGTCAGTGAGTGAGTCACCACGTGACCGCATCCGATTTTACAACCGATATTACTGCAGTCATTATATGAGTCACGCAGTCGTGAAATAAATCACACGATTGTTAGGTGAATCCAGCTTCTCCCATTGATTTTGCTTATCGGAAACCGGCAGAGAAATGATAAATTGCAATCATATGGCCACCACCGTCGTAAATGAGAGTTGGTTGCCAAGACCCCAAATTGCAATCATGGGGCTGTGCGGATGGTGTGATGGTTGTGACCTCAAAGGCAAGTCATAAGTCACTTTTTTCAGTCCTGTTGTAACTCTGAACAGCCATTAAAAATGAATGGTTGGAAGTTTTATTCTGCACAGGGATGGATACGGTTGGAGATAAAAAGAGAAGGTACATATTGCTAGGATAAATATATAAATATAAATATATAAGGTAGAATAGGTGGTCATTTCAATGGAAGATTTCAATAAAGTCAACCTTCATAACTCTCTCTGTTCCCCTAGGTCAGGGGTAGGCAACCTTGGCTCTTTTATGACTTGTGGACTTCAACTCCCAGAATTCCTGAGCCAGCATGGCTCAGCATGGAAACCTCTCCCTCTCCCCTCAGCATGGTTGGCTCAGGAATTCTGGGAGTTGAAGTCCACGAGTCATAAAAGAGCCAAGGTTGCCTACCCCTGCCCTAGGTTATATCATCATCCTTTAAATATAAAAACAACAATAAAAGTACCAATAACTCCATGAACACCAAGCCACAATAATGTAGACCAAAATCCACTTTACAATGCATTCTTGGTTAACAGAAATTTCCATGACTCCATGACTGGTTTTTTTTTT